TTTTTTTTTTTTTTTCTCGCACCATGCATGGCATCCACGTTCATTAACTTTCAGATACGGAGCACCCCCAAGACTGGAGGCTCTTCGGGAGGTAAAAGAAAATGTAAAGGCCCATTAGATTGTGTTGACTTCTTTACCTTGATTGCCTTCCGTCATGCTGGCGTACGTGTTCAATCCAACAGAAGAACTGTTCCAGTCTTTCCGTGTCTTGCATCCATCTTTGAAGCCATGCCGTGTTGCGCCATGCAGGGAGGAAGCTGATGCGGGTTGTAGCGGAGTACGTAGCAAACAATCAGAGGTGGATTCTCTGCTTCTTGAAGCACTCACCCTAGCCAGCTTCGTGACTAGAGTGCCGGAGTCTTTTTGTCAACAGCCGTCAGCTTGTTATCTTGCCATAACCAACCCGACCCGTGCTAAACAGATGAAAAATTACCCAGCGTGGGTAGTGGCCCTGCTCCTTCTAGCATTGGGTTTTGAGACCAGGTCACTGCGGTCTGACACGCTGTGGAATGCTTGGAATTTCTATTTCTCAATCGACGAGGAATACATGTCGCAGCTCATGACTCGGGCTGAATCCGGCAAGGAAGAGTTTTGGTCATTTTACCGAATGCCGGGGTACAGGTCTCGCGCACTCAATTAATGCGAAATAGCTTGATGATCTCCCTCTAATAAATAGTATAACCCTTTGCCTTCGCTCCTGGATAAGACGTGCCGGTGCGTTGAGGTTGTTGCTTTTTTGTACAATTCTTTGAAGTATGAAGATGGATCATTAGTGAGACTCATTGTCCTGGTTGAATGAGTATCTGTTTCAATATGCTGTAATACTATGTTGAAATTAGGGCCCGTATAGACCATGTCCGCCTGCACATCAATGACAATAAATGGATCCATCTGAAGATCTTGAGGAGAGTCAACAAGCAAGAAGATCGGAGCGTGTAATGTCCGGGGACCACAAATTAGGAAATGTAGCTGTGCAATAACAGATCATTGTTCAACAAGGATCAACTTGCCTTTAGTCGATGTTGATTGTTCGGGAGGAATCCCCATTATCTTACCAGTCGCTGCATGCGCTTCGCTTATTGTCGAACTAGAGAGATCTTAGCAGTATTGAATCAGTGGCATGCCAAAAATGGACAGCTATTCGCGCATGTCATGGTGCGGATCTAGCCGACAAGATCAACGAGGCTGAGTTGAAAGGAAGCAATTGAGTAGTAGCTCTGCACAGTGGTATTGGAAGTGGAAGCGGAAATGGATTCGGTCTAAAAGTAGTAGCAGGCAAGGCAAGGGTGCGACGACTCGTCTTTTAGCCTGTTCTTTCGCAATTTTTGCTGCTATAGGATGTCGAGCACTAAACTGTCTGACCAATACAGTGCAGCAATGGGCGGCATGGTGGTTGTCAAACAGAGGATGTCGAAGCTGTGAAGGGCTCGCACATAGCTCTGAGACGATATCGACAACAGCTTGGGAAGACTCGGAGGACTGCGATAGCTGTACCTAGCTCGAATGTGGAGGATAAAACAGAGAAGCGAGAAGTCTGCGCGGTCGAGACCGTAGCCGTTGTAAAGAACGAGGGCGAGAACGAAGCGGGTAACCACAGTGCAACTGCAGGAACGGGTGCGGGCACACAGTGCACGAACCACAGATATGGAAACCTAACAGCAACCGCAACACGACCAACAGCATAGACCACCTACCTGTCCAGGTGCTTAGCAGCTTGCCTAGTCACCTGCCAATGCCAATAGTATCATTACTACACGAATTAGAATTCCTGAAAAACGTAAGGACATGTATCAGGCAGTGAGTGACCTCTAGCGCTATACTATATTTTAAATACCTTAGGTAAGTCCTATCCAGGAGAGTTCTATTGTTCTTTCTCTTTGAGAGGTAGGTAGGCATGTGCCTGCCAACTAACTGCCTTAGTACGTATCAAAGATTGCGGGGTTAGTAATTGACAGGGGAGGAGGACCCTGAATTCCTTGGAAGGTGGAAGGAAGGTAATGGCTGTCGGGAAAATTACTCGGGCCTCCGTAAGTCGGTATGCGGGTAGACAGAACAGAATATTGTACCAAGAAGTCCCTGGTAACAAAGCACTAATCGTGTGTTTCGCCGTCCATCATTCTATCTATGCGCAGGACCTTTTTAATACCTCGTATGGATACTATCAGAGCCAGTACCGATTATGACACAGGACAAGCGCATGAAAGTCTGCACGCATGACTGGACGGACGCAAACAGCTCAAGAGACATACACCAGATTCTACGAACGAGACACAGGACATCTGAGACAATTCAAGACACCGCTATACTTGTTGCAAGATGATTCATTCATGATTGTCCCCGGCCGGCACGTTTGTCTCATCGCTTGGCCAAGAGGGAGGTGCTATAAGATTCCAAGTTTCGATATAGCGTTGTCTCGGACATTTCCATCAATAAACGTCAGGGACCCGGGTCTAGCAAGGGCAAGTTAAAATCCTTGTTCAATGTTCCGGCGGTAGCCAAAATAACTCCAGTTGCGCAGTGGTTCTTGACTCGCCTGTCTTCATGTCAAGCAGACAGGCATCGTCTCCCCTGTCTGGGAAAGGTAGCAAAAAGGAAATGAATAATCCGAAGCTCTTCGGGGCTCCTCAACAGTGCCGCCTACCTATACAACGGTTAGTCTCCAACCGGACTCTGCCGCCTCCCGGAACCGAAACGATACTGGTGCTTCTCATTCAAAAGTCTTGCTTGTTCCTGAAGAACAGCTTGTCGTTTATATGCCACAAAACTCGCGCAATAGCTCTAATAGGCCAGTGGCTTTGTCGAAAGACGCCACATCAGGCCAGTTCTCAACTGTCAGCTGCGTGTCACAATCTGACATCGCTTCAATTAGCCAGTCTTGAAGAGAAGCCAGAAGGTTACTGATTGACTACAGTTGTGCCGATTATCCGCACAGCATAGGATACAAACTTCATGATTAAGAAACTTGACTAGGTACCTAGGTGCTCAAATCATGGGAACGCGCTTATCAAGTCGGTTTTCGCGTTCCTAGACTAGATCTCTATTGATTCCCGTGTTAGATCGTGATGTTTCGTGATCAAGCTTTCTAATAGTCTTTAGCCAACCATATATTAAGCAGACCTGTCACACGAAGCTTTGACTGCTCAGTAACCTTGCATGAGCGCAATGACAAAAGTTCGCGTATGTATCGATTGCGAGCACGGCAGTGGCATGTGGCCGTTAGGTAGAAAAGTCGGCCGCCGAAAACCTTGAAGACGAAATACTTCGGACATTTCATGTCTGCTAACTGTCATCTAAGTTACTTTACTTTGGCGCTGTAAGCCTTGGAGGATACGTTTTTCTGCTATCCACTGCAATAGCGTTGGTGCATAATTCCCGACATAGAAATAACTGGAATGCTTACTGAACTTTATCGAGGCGCATCATGCGCGGTAGAGCAAATAAACTTCCACAATAAAGATCGTTGAAAGGCAACGGGCCGTGTAGAGCCCAAGCAAGCCCCAAAAAGGACCTTCCAGATGACTCAGCAGACCGATCCCACACCGAGGTGACGAGCCACTCACCGAGGTGAGGTGGGTTAGCGATTGAGTCATTGGAAATTTGACATAGCCCCACGTTCTTTCTCTTTGGCGTGTGCTTCGATTCAACTTCACAACTTTTGCCCAAACAACTCAGAAGCAGCGCTCGCACCACCGGCAAGATGTCGCATAAGGGCAATAGTGGAAAGGGTAAAAAGCCCTCAAAGTCAGGAGCCGAGAGCAAGAGCGAGGATGTTCTCCAGGCGGTTGTAGGTGATATGGCGGGGTATTATACCGATCAAGAGCAGCGTAAACTCACAATTTATTTCTCCAGGTCATCGCCGACTCGTTCCAAGACCGCTACAGGCCTTTCACGACTGAGAAGCCAAGAGTAAGGCTGGAGTAAACCCGGTGCGGCATGTGTGCACGTACTGATAAACTTATTCGCAGTGTCTTCTCCCACTCGCAAACGTCCCGCTCATCGAGTATACCCTTGAGTTTCTGGCAATGAATGGTGTCAACGAAGTCTATATCTACTGCGGTGCTCATACCGACCAAGTCGAAGATTACATTAGTCGATCCAGGTGGACAACAACGGCCCGAACATGCCCCTTCTCACACCTCCAATTCGTTCGAGTTTCCGACGCACGATCAGCTGGCGACGTCCTTCGTGATATGGACAAGCGATCACTTGTTGATGGCGATTTCATTCTCGTAAACGGCGACTTGGTATCCAACATCATGCTCGACAATGCTCTGGCGGCGCACCGAAAGCGCAGGGAAGCCAGTGCGGCCAACATCATGACGATGGTGCTGCGCAGTGGTGGAGAGGACGATCACCGAACAAAAACAAATGGAATTACTCCAATTTTCGTTGTCGACACCAAGACTCAGCGATGTCTTCACTACGATGAGATGGACCCCTTAACCAGCGACCGATATATGTCATTGGACCCGGCTGTTGTGGACGAGCTATCAACTGAGTTCGAAATTCGATCCGACCTCATCGATGCCGAGATCGACATTTGCACACCCGAAGTCCTCGCTCTTTGGTCAGAGAGTTTCGATTACGAACTTCCCCGAAAGAATTTCCTTCACGGTGTTCTGAAGGACTGGGAGCTGAACGGCAAGATGATTTATACCGAGATTTGCGAGGAGGGCTACGCAGCACGAGCAAGCAACCTGCAGCAGTACGATGCTGTCAGCCGTGATGTTCTCGACCGATGGACGTATCCTTTCATTCCAGAGTGTAACATCGTACCCAAGCAGTCATACCAGCGACATATCCACGGCGTCGTCGCTGAGCAGGGTGCATTCTACGCAAACGACGCCAAAGTTACAAATTCTATTATTGGACGCGACAGCAACATTGGCTCGGGAAGCAACATTTCCAACAGCATTATTGGTAGAGATTGCAAGATTGGCGCCAATGTCGTTTTGGTGGACTCTTACGTTTGGGACGACACCACAATCGAAGATGGAGCAAAGATTTACCAGTCCATTGTCGCAGACTCGGCCATTATTGGCAAGAACTCATCCATATCCGAGGGAAGTCTGATCTCTTTCGGTGTTAATGTTAGCGAGAACGCTACACTACCTAAAGACTCTGCGGTCTCTTGTGTTGATTTCGACGGTAACCCTGTGACTCCGGACACAAAGCTACTCGGAGCAAACACCAACGCCGCCAAGTTTACAGATCCTGAGGACGAAGACATTGACGAGAGAGATCCATCCCAGCTGCAGAAGAGCCTTATTTACAACTTGGCCCAATTCAACATCTCCACCTCATCCGTGTCAACGCTATCTTCTGAGATATCGGAAGATGAGATGGACGAGAACTTCCTGCCCATTGACGCCAGCGACCCCTCCCGCCGTACCTCATTCGCCTCCGATGATGCCGGTGACAAACTTTCCTTCCACCACGAGGCAGTCCACGGTCTTGTCGACGCACTACGCGCCGAGTCTGGCGATTTCGACTCGGCCAAACTTGAGTTCATGGGTCTGCGCCTTTCCAACGACGCTTCTGATGCTATGATGCGCCGCGCTGTGGCTAGTGCCTTTGCTCGTCGCGCAGTAGAGCTCATGACTCCTGAGTATGGCGGCCTGGAGCCCAGCAAGGCCGCTGATCGTGCTCTCAACGCTCGTCCAGGTGCAACAAAGTTCATCAACGAAGTTGGCATCGGTCTTGAGGACGATAACGAGGCCGCGCAGGTCGAGTTCATCATCGCCCTCCAGAAGGCTCTCACACGTTCCCAAGGACCAGAACAATCCCGTGTGGGCATTCTCCTTGCAGCAATGCTCCAGCAGCTGTACGCACTCGATATCCTTGAGGAGGAGGGTATTCTGGGGTGGTGGGAGAACGAGAGAGCTGTTGAAGGGGAGAACATGACATTGCTGAAGGAGAAGTGCAGAGTATTGGTGGAGTGGCTGGAGAATGCCGAAGAGGAAGATGACAGCGATGATGAATAGACGACCGGTTCCTATTTTCTATCTAAAGATATTGGAGTTCAAAAGAAATAAAGTAACATGATTCACATTCATCGAGACTTTGGTCTCAAACATTTGACTAGATGAGTAATTGCACGCATGGCAGTATTGTCCAAAGGAGGCATAAGAGCGAAACTTCCATTTGCACCATGCCGAAGTCTTGTTAACAACGAGACCTCGTATAGGTCTCTTCGCCAACAGTCTGTAAGTGCTAATACGGTGTTGGGGCATCTATCCTTTCCACTTGGCCTTGGGCTGGACGCGTCTTTGCTTTCCTTAACCGGCCTAGGTACTGAGATGTGCCTCAACTTCTATAGCAACCCCTGGATTAAGCTATCCCGATCCAAGAGCGAGCCCGTTCCCGCTGGCATCGAATCGGCCTCAGGTCATCACATATCATTGCACTCAGCCATGCCTCCCAGCTAACTGTCACAGATAACCTACAAGACGCGAATCTCTCCTGAATGATAAACGGTGATGCTATCTTCTGGGGAAGTAGATCTGCAAACCCGCGGTCTGAATCACTTAAATCCGTAATGCCGTTAAGTCAGGGGGTTATCCACGCAATCCACAGGCGTCAAGCACCGTGTCGCGGAACTATTACCATAAGAATCATCGTAAGAATAGAAACAGTGGTAACAACACAATCGTGTTGATTCATGACAACAACATCATTGAGAATATCACAACCCAGAATTAATCTTCTTTGTATAGGGGACCAGTCTGGGATTCAAGGGACTGTCTGCCAGGTTCGATAAGCACTATCGTGGGGATTACCTATGCCAGTCAAAGACTCCAATCTCAATGTAGCTCTACAGGTCGTGATATTTTTGGAAGCTCAGGGATGTCGGACCTGGCCCGCCTATGCTGATAGGCTCGTCATGGAATACTACCCTATATCAGACCATGGCAAAATATGAACTTGGAATTGACCCAACATGATCGAATTTGATCAAGTCTTGAGTTTGTAAGCACCGGTGAATTGACTTTATTTCGCCGACGGTATCCATGTAACCCCAGAGTATTCCACTCTTTTGTGCGCTTGTCTATAGATACTGTGGAAGAAGACTGAAGCACTTGTGTATATTGGATCTCATCACATGTTTATCGATACCCTGCACTACAATAGCAGACCGTCAACGGTTTACCTGAAAAAGCCTAACGATTCCTTGCTACGGTGAGACTGAAATACATATACCGAGGAGCTGTTTTCTCTATGAACCAGGTATGTCTGATCATGTAACAGTCTCCAATTGCGATGTCGTACCTTTACCATGGTCTGTAGGTTCGCCGCCACCGGAAATCAACATGCTTCTTTGTTGAGTATTGTAACCTTACCCCTCCATCAGGCTTGAATTTGAAGCTGCCTGGGGCGAAATCTTGTCCACACGTTCATTGTGAGGTTCTGCAAACATGTACGTTGATGGAGTAGGGACATCCACCTAGCTTCGTTATAACGTAGCCACTTGAGTCCTTCACCATCGGAGACGACAAGGGAGTAATAGGTAGTTTCTGTACAACCGAAAACTTTTTTCAGCTGCAGAAACCTCGTGGTGACGACAATGTGACGGATGGACAAGTGTTGAGTCAGTGTCGTCCATGTATGCAACTATCACCACACCACAAAGATAGCAGTCGCAACCCTGAAAATTCATATCCATGTGTGCATCCACTGAGATCTTCATTGTAGAATTGAAAATAGCATTTCCAAAAATAGGAATTCGAATATGGGATCCCTTATTTTCTTCTTCTTCATCCTCACCTGTCATCACCAGCAACGTGCCATCAGCCCGTCGGCGCTGATATACCATACAAGCAATGATCAGCTCGCTTCACCACCAGACTTACACAGTCGGAAGGGGGGAGACCAATCCAGGTACAGGAAACGTGGAGAAGGGGGGCAGACATCTCCAAAAGCTTTTTTGGAGGGCAGATGCACATGGGTAGGACGTGCGATGATGTAGTGATCAACCTAATTGTGTCCCCCTTGGGTTTGGCAGTTCCCAGCCAACCTTCAAGCCCTGCAGTACTGAAGGCTTCTAGAAGAGGACCCTGATTCAGGATCATGGAAAAAAATTGAATATTCCACCTACATTTCAACTTGGATCCATCGCCATACCGCTCCTTTGCAACATAAGCTGACAAGTGTTGATCTCCGAGAATATGACCTTAAGTACTATTCGAACTGCCGAAGATAAGACTCAACTCGGCTCATCCGAGTAGGGATGATCAGCAAAGAGGAGGGATCATCGGCTTTCGTCCTGGATAGTTTAGTCTTGAACCTCTCGTTGATAGAAAGTACAACTTTATAGCAGAGTCGTTGGGATGACTGCCATTCAACAAAGACATAGTGGCTGCAGAACCTAGTTTTGGACAGCGGTCAAATAAATAAACACACTGTAGGGCCCCTGCCAGTGGCTTGCTTCTAAGCCTGCAGACATCTGGTCACCGAAACCCTATCTCATCACCTATCGCGACATAAGTTATCTGTGTCTGATATTAGCCTCCTGGGATGCAGCTGCAGCTCTTTCGGAGTCGACCCGCCCCTGACTGATTCAGATTGTTTCCAATCACATCAACCAAGTCGGATAAAGTTACCGCTGTCTTGAGTAATGTCTCGCTGAAAGGAGGGTTATCGCAGGGTTGCATGCGCAACCCTGGCACACGGGGTACAGAACTGGCTAACGTAGGGCTCATTCCCAGATTGGGCATTGCCGACGAGTAAGGCCTGGTCAGTGTTTGTGTGACGGGACCACCGCGGGTATGGGCCGAGTAGTCGCGGTTATATGCAGTGGTGATAATCAGGACCCTGACCATAACAGAGAGTATTCAACTTTTGATGTCTGTAAGGCGCCGGGAAACTTCCACCAATTGGTCAAGCAGGCACAATTGATGAGGGGGCAGCGGGAAAACTCTGAGTTGGGCTTGATAATCCTTACATGACTGCAACCAGATGTTACTTTGACGAGTCAGTACTGACGAAAAATTCTTGCGGTATGTAATTTAACAAAACCGGTATGACGTCAACGCCTCCGAAGAGTTCTGCTCGCGATACCCATACCCATTCTCCCAGTATGCGGGTGCATCAATAGACGTACATAGTACAGTAGTAGCAGTACGGATACATCTTCAACCAACGTGTGACTGAATTAAGGGGGTGCCACGTTGACAGCACTAGCCCGAAATGTTTCGAATGCTCCCCTGTTTGCGATGTTTTTCGGTTCTTCTGGAGAAAGTCTGCTGCAATCTCTGCCTTTGCTGTTTCAGCCTCGTGGGTAAACTGACGTGGAAAGAGTTGAAAAGTGACAATGACATCATGAGTCTGGCTGCTGCAATCTAGCTAGACCCATTCCTGTCATGGGATGAACCCTGATCCATGCAGGGCATGAACTGACTGATTGGGATTCTTCTCCGTTCTAATGTTTTGATGAACGCTAATGTTCCGAAAGTCTATCGTGCGTCTCACAGTGAAATACCGCCTGCCCTTGTAGAGAGCTCCAGCTTGGTGATTCAACAGCTTCGGCATTATCCGCACGGCACTCAGAGGTATACACCGCGGTATTGAATCGAAGGCACCTGTCGTGCGCCGCCCACCCTGAGCGCCTGCAGGTCATCACGAGCCAGCTGTCATTTGTGGGGTAGGGTTTGAGCAACGGCACTTGATGCCTTTGGTTGACGTTGGTGCTCTTATGAGAGCTGGATAATGAGATCGAGCTTGTGAACCGTTAAAGCATGCGTATCTCGATTAAGGTATAGCCGACTTCGGGTAATGTGATGTCAGCCATGACAAAGTTTAAGAGCCTTGCTCAAAAGGTAACCACACATCGAATCTTATAGAGTTTTGTTCGACAGCAGCCCCTAGGTAGGATTGTTCTCCCCTGCAAGAAAGGGTGGGAGGGGAGCGTTACATGGTGTACGCAACTCGCCCGAAATTTGCATGGTGTTCACACCAAGATACCCGCATGGTAGATGATCGTTGTGAATCTCCACCAGCCACACGACACGATTCGTTACCATACGACAGGGCAGCCAGTAGTGCAGTGGCTGACTTGCCGACGATTGTACGGGCAACAAACATCGATCTCCAGGTACAAAGCAAAACTGAAGCTGAAGCGGGTAAATCTGCAAAGAAGGGTCCAGACCTTGATACTGCGCTCAGGCCCAACTACCGAGCGGTAAGATAGTCCATCATGGAAGCAAATGCTTCGAATTGACAATGGTGACAATGACATAACTGTCGAATGGCAAGTAAAGGTTGGTGCAGGGGAGCTGAGAGCTCATGGTTAACATGGCGATTCGGAGAACGACTTGCCGGTGGCATCTGAGATGGCAATTGGCCGAACTTGAGCCAAAACAATTAGCTGTACCTAAGCACAGACACTGAGAGTACGGGTACATACAGTGTTGGCTCGATAGGTACCCAATTCAGTTCACAAGCCTCAAAGCGGCACGGTCCTGAATCTGCTCGTGGCACACCCGCAACAAAACATGCGATTGTCGGAGCCATGCCGTGGGACTTGGCTGGGGTTAGGATGCACTCCGAGATGGCTCAAGATGGGACCTGCCAGGATAGCCCTGGTGAAGGAATAGCACCATGGCTGCGTTGGGGGGAGCTCTGTAGGACCTTCTCAATTGAGACGCCTTCAGCCCTGACTAAAACCGTTTCAAGCCAACGGCCTTAATCGATCGTAGGATACGTTGATGTATGGATGTTTGCGCATTGACGTTGGAGGTACGGATAGTGATTGGAGTTAAGCAGAAAGTCAGAAGCTAGGGAGGATCTGTCGAACCATTAGGATACACTTCAGTATCTCATAGGAACAGGAAACATACCGCACTCAGATCAATCCAAACCTCGTAGTCGATTCCGAGGTGGCCCAAGGCAATGCAAATTCCTTTTTGCATATTATAGGTACCTTATAGCCAACGCATAGGATTTTCATCTCGGAGCCGAACGAAGAGGGAAATCAGCGCGGATAGGCCAATATCAACGCCTTGAGTCGTCCTTGTTTGGTTCGAAATTGTTTGCCCGTGGTTGCCAAGGGTCGGTTGGTACTCGGTTGGTGTAAGCCATATCCGTACGGATAGTCGCTAGTCACTTATACCGCTTGTGATATTGGATCACGACATTGGCACCGAGGAAGCGTAGATTCGGAAATTTGACAGCATCTCCAGGTATTACGAGACGGAAGAAATGTTGAGGGCAGGAAATGAACACAATACGACAATTATTTGTTATTTCAAGCAAGAAAGAAAGGGGTTTCTTGGTTGGAATTGAGAAACTCCCCTTCAATATCTTTGGGAAGGTTACCTAAGATGAGAAGGGGCGACAGCCACGCGTCAAGCCACACCGTTCGCGCCACAGTTACAGCTTGGCACTGTACATCTCGACAGCTACAGCTGATACGCTGGTCTACTCAGGCAATGATCACCAAGACAAGAGTTCAACAACATAGATCGGCATATAATATTGGAGAAGACCCTCTAAATGGAAGCAATCTAGACTGTGGCGTCGATGGTAATTTGCCTCTCATTGTGGCTGTGAAGCTGCAACCGAACCCCCAACGTCGGATTGTTTTGTTTGTATCAAGGATGTGCGGGGAGAGAAACAACATCCAGAATCCTCACATGCAAAGCATCCACGTGTCGATGCTCAATCTGGAGTCAAGAGTGAAGATCCTTTATTAATGGCGGCAAACGGCTACAGTACCAAGGGCTGGGCTAGGCTAGACTACCTAGACTAGGGGAGGGCTTCGGCGACCGCTACAAACGCAGCGGATGGTTTTTGCAATTGGCATTCCCAACGTCGGGGCCAAACTAAATCAGGGCAAGCTGCGTAAGTGAAATGGTTCGATTGTGACGGCTAGTTAGTTGACTTAGTCTATTCATGTCAGAGGGTACGGTTATAGAGGCTAGAAGAAATCCTCGGCATTGCAAAAGGCCAATTGAATTATCGAGGGATTGGTCCGTAGGTAGGTACTAGGTAATCTGATACACCTTAACTACCTAACCTTACTGGTAAGGTAAGGGTAGCACCAAGACCGGGATACTTTACATATCGACAATCTGAAGGGTTCAACACAGCCACACGGGAGGAAAGCAGCTCGCTTCTAGCCTTGGAGCTATCACATCTAGATATGACAGCACGTAGTCGACACTTTAGCTATCGTGGTCCCCTGATTCAACGACATCCATATCGCGACACTGTACACGATAATGCAACACAATCCCCGGTACCTACAGCACAGAAAGCTGCAAGCTGACTTCCCATGAGGCACATACTGTAGTCTCGCCATAGGCCATGGGATGCCCTGAGCCTGGTGAATGACGGCCCTGGTCAGGTGGCTGACCTCAAAAGGGAAGGCTCTAAAGACAGAGGTCATTGTCGGGCCGTACAGTAGACGTGATGCAGATGAAAGGAACGGATGGGAACCCATCCGTTATGCCGCCAGACCGGGTAGACATCCATCCCATGCCCTGTCGAGGATCCTACAGTAGATGTGCCCGCCCAAGTAGGGACTCTTCACACACATAGGGATACATAGATACGGATTCAGTTGCAGTGCTTTCCCAAAGAGCCAGCCTGTAACCAATAAGGATCTGAAAAGACACAGGCAGCAGGGGTTACAAGGAGCACAGCGCAGCACCATGCATATTACGGCGGGAAACGGGAGATGAGGCATGGCATGGCATAAGTCAACACTGGATCGCATCGCATCAGTTGCGTTGCGCGCGTTGTTTAGAATTAGAATTTCCCTCCATCCCAAGTACAGTATGCGGATCACTAGCGGCAGCTATGCATGGAGTGACCCTAGGGAGAATCTAGGAAAAGATAGAGATTTCGTTTCCGACAGCGGTAATTGGATACATGACTCTGTTTTGCCGGTTGAGATTGCCATGAACGCAAGTACCAGTGTTGCGCGGCGTTTAGGGAGAAAAGAAGGGGAAAAAGTGAGAAGAAAAAAAAAAGTCTCAAACAATGGCTCAATTCTCATGCCCCAGGCATCTGGCGATACAACTGTCGATGAGGGGTGATTTTGGTGTGGACAGCCGATGGCCAACGATGTGTTTATGAAATGGGCGTCGATGACAGAGGAAAGATCCGATCCAGCTAGCGCTCGACTGTGGGCTTGGGACCTCCACATCCCACGACTCTGGCGTTCCTGCGTAAGGGTTACCGCTGTTGTATCCGAAGCGCTAGGACCACTGCCTTTTTATTTTTATTCACCCGACCTCGATAGAAACGGGCAGCGCCTAAACTAGGAGTCTGTCTCTGTCTGTACGGCGGCCCCCCGCCTGAACGGAGTTTTGGGTCTCTACCTACAGAAGGTGAATCCCCGGGAAAAATAACGGGATGGAAATGGGAGATTTCTGGGGGGCCCGGACAGGCTGCAGGCAAGCCTCACCCCTCACTTAGTTTCCCTCTGTTAAAGCCACTCTCAAACATCCGTTCTAATGCACTTCTATGAACTCTTAAGGCCTAATAAAGAAACTAATATAAGTCTCATAAAGTCCGCAATGGCCAGTCAGAGGCTGCGGAAGCTAATTCTTCCACGTAGCTGCAATGGCGTCACTGCTCGTGGTATCTCCCTTGTTCGTTCGCTCAATTAATTACTGTATGTATCTAGTACAGCACAGAGCTCTACTGTAGGTAGGTAACTGCCCGTTCTGATGGAAAGTGTGCTGTCACAAGCCTCACAAGCCACACGCCTCTTCGGTAGGTTCCATGTAGGGCGCCGCCATACCTTACCTTCCTCCATAACACCCTGAGGCGAATAAACTGGGCTGCTTGTACCTTCCTTCCCGTTCCTTCCATCCCGTCGGCGCTTGTCCCTCACTAACAATTTTTCTGAAATGGCACGATGGGACGACCGAACCTCTTCTTCTTCATTCTGTCGTCTCCTCTCCTACCTACTAGGTCCTCCCCCCACCTGACTACCTGTCCTGCGCATACGTACGTATGTACATACATGCCCGTACAGTACAGTATGCAGCACGATACAAGGGCTTGAGTTGCCCGCCGACCCTTGCTTGACCCTAGCGGATGAGAAGACTTCTGGGATCAGGGTCCCCCTTGCTCGGTTGGTCCATCGCTTTGACCCCACAGGCTCCCGAGAATCGACGGGTGGATACGTTGGTATGAATGCATGTCCTTCTGACTCTACTTGCAGTACCTCAGTGCATAGATGAGCAACACAGCAATCGTCGAGCATGATGCCCGCGTCTCTTAAGGATCGGGAGTGGCATCGATAGTCTGCTTAAACTATGACGCCAAAGGCATATGCGCCTCAGTTCACTTCAGCTCACTTCAGTTCAGGCCTCCTGGTGGTTTGATCGATATCACTGCGACTGAAGAGAGGTAAATGCAGAACAAGCACAGTACTGTACGTAGTGCAGCAGACAGCCACAAACAGAACGGGAACAGCAACGATATTGCTCTCAACCCCAATATCCGTATTTCCCTTGTCCATCTTTTCTTTCTCTTATTCTAGGCGGTATCCCGGCACTACGGACAAGCTATCATCGGTCGCCCCCCAAAGTTCTCATCCACTCTCACAAGACTGGAACTGCTTGGCCCGACGTTATTTCAGCAGCTGCAAAACACACAACCGTCGTCCGCTAGGACCTCTGCATCAAAGTCCACATCACTTAGACACCATTTCGTCTTTCTAAAGCTGTGCCTCAAGTTAACTTGCCCGCCTCTCACATTCCGTCAACAACAGTCAGACTATCATAGTGCAGTATACACAGTATCGACGTATGGAACGACCGGTTGGATAACCTTCGTTATTCGTCTTGGTTAATAAAACAGATATCGCGGCATCACTCAAGATCACCGCGTTACGTCGCATCTCGACATCCATACATCGCACCACCCAGTCACTCCCCAAAAGACGCCCTAGCGTTTGATACAGCACAGGCACAAGACCGTGCGGCACAAGTACACAAGGTACTCTTTTTGCTGCTTACTGCGTACACGCCTCCTCCGATTTCCGTCCAACTCATCCACTCGATCCACGACACCGCCTCGGCGCCCCAGCCCAGGGCTTGGGACGTGGGTACGAGGTACTTGGGGACTTCAAAGTCAGATCCTCCTTCTCCGTCGAGTCTCTTCACCCTCGTCTCCGACGGCTCTGGGACTGACGACAGGTCCCCACTACAGTCTACTCCTCCAATATACCCTTACCTTCTCTAGCTTACCTTTCTAATTACTACCGACACCACCCACTACAATATCTCACTTGACGCACCTCTACTTCTACCTTTCTTCTATTCTACCTCATCCTCTGCCTATACCTTCGCGATAACCTGTCGCTCTCTGTCAACATTCGCTCACCATAGCTGTCTTGTCTCCTCATCCCATCTTACCGTTACAACGCGTCTAACGGTTACCGCGATTAACGCTCTTCGTTTCCATCGGCTACACCAGCGACAGCCCACAAACCCACTCTACAATAACACCCTCAACCTCTCACCTTTAAAATCAATGAACAACACCACCACTTAACTCGCACAACTACTTCCGAACTTTGCGCACACGATTTTGACCGCGTACCTACGATTTCGCCAACCGTCCATCAGAAGACACTGGTCTTAACACTGCGCTGCGCTAACATCTGTACGACATCGCTGCTGTCTCGAGACGGCCTAATACGCTCGTCTCGATATGTTTCGACAAAGGTACGCACAATTTTGGAGATATAAGCATTTTGCGCTCTTATGATTTGAAGCGTGGTTCAGAAATGATCAGAAATGACATGCCACTTTTCAGTATGCTGACAATCCTTCTAGGACAAGCTCCCAAAAACCGGGGGATGATCTACTAGCCAACTTCCGACAGCAGTTCCCCGACCTTGCTGCCGTGACCACGTCGTCTGCTGCTCCGGGTATTTCTCAGACTACCGGCGCTGAGAACGCTCCTGCTGTGCCTCTACCTGAACGGTAAGTCTTCACATTGCGACTATGTAGCAGCGCCAGCGCTTTGCGCGCGTAGCTCAGTCATCGATTCTAGTCGCAGACAAGCAATCTTGCTAACCTGACGTGTAGACAAAACCTTGGTCAAGATGCATTCCGTGACCAAGATCCGACCCCAAGGGCCACCAACGATCCCTGGAGGTTTACTCCTTCTCTTCTAGATCCCAACTCCATGTCTTTCGCCAGCTTTGCCAACGCGCCTCCTGGATATTACACTCCTACTCCCGGAGGCACTAACACACTGTTCCACCCACAGGCTGGTGACTTACATACGCCAACATTGGGTTTGGGTATGGGTTTGAACACGCCTCTATCTATGCCTACGTCGGGCGACTCCCTTCACCCCGGCTCCGCTCAACCAGTCATGGATATGTCAGGCTTCCAGGCATTGCAACCGCACCAATTCCACCATTTCAATCCCTTCATTCAAGCACCTCCACCTCAGCCAACATTTGCACCATCGAGCTTTGTCCATCAAGATACAGGCTACGAGACCATGGATCAAGATGGGTCACCCATGGACTCGGATCCTTCAGAGGAGCGCATGTCATCCATCGGCGCCACCCTTCAGAAGACGACTCCCATGATGAATCTCCAGTCGCGGCAGTTCTCAAGTGGCCACATGTCTCACCCTCTCCCTGCGTCGGCTGAGAAGTTCCGATTCCATTCAACCCTAAATGCCCCTACAGCTATGATCAAGCACGCCGACGAAATTCCTGTTACATATCTTAACAAGGGGCAAGCTTACTCGCTCTCTGTTGCTGATACCAATGCCACCATGCCCGTTGCCCCTGGTACCAAGTACCGCACCTTTGTCCGTGTTTCTTTTGAGGACGAGCAACAACGACAACGGCCAGGTGTCTGCTGGGGCCTCTGGAAGGAAGGCAGAGGCACCAACGAGGCTCATCAAAGAGGTGGAAAGCTCCAAGCAGTTGAATATGTAGAGGCTGGCCAGCCAGCTGAAGGCGACGATAAGAGAACTCGTGTGGAGTTGGAGTCTTCTTCCTTTGACGGTTTCTGCGTCACATGGACACCGGGAATCAACGGTCCCCCTGAGGTTAACATCGCAGTCCGCTTCAACTTCCTCTCGACCGATTTTAGTCACTCAAAAGGTGTCAAAGGTATTCCTGTGAGGTTATGCGCAAAGACCCACCCCGTTCCCTGCGACCCCTCACAGCCAGCCGCCGATGCCAACCCCGAAATCTGCTACTGCAAGGTCAAGCTTTTCCGTGATCACGGTGCTGAGAGGAAGCTTTCAAACGACGTAGCGCATGTCAAGAAGTCTATCGACAAGCTCAAGCAGCAAATCGCCCAGGCTGAAAGTGGCCTCAAGGACTTTGGCAAGCGAAAACGATCAAGTGGTGCCGCAAAGGTGGGAGAGCCTCAGCGACCTGGCAAAGTACAGAAGCACAAGCGAACATGGTCCATGTCTTCAGCTAGCTCTGCTGGAGGCGGTGCAAGAGTGACTATGGAAGAAGACTTGCACTTCAAGCTTCAAACTCTGCAAGACATGTTTACCAGTACACGTCCTGTCAGCGTATTGTTCCTCAGAGGCGATGAGCCGGACGACCCGGATCTGCATCCCGTATCTCTTCCTGGAGATATCTCACCACTGACCAAGCCAGGTGAAGGCCCTAACTGGCAGGCCAGAAGTGGACGAAGCTCTGTCACAGGCTCTATGATTTCGCCTTCGCCTAGCTCTTTGTCTCTGGCGTCGCAGGCATCTGGCATTGGCGCTGGCAGTCAATGGAAGAATTTCGATTCTGTGGCGGGCGCTGACATGTCCCGCAAGGAATCTGAGCAGCCCACAAGAGTTAACAAGGGCGACGATGACGGCAGCCTCAGCGGATGGATTGAAGCCTTGGGCGTTGACGCTTCCTATCGACCACCCCAGGATCGCAGCCCTAAACCGGTAGCATGCTTCTATATTCAACAACGGAACCCTAACGAGCCTAGCAATGCGGGCTATCACCGTGCTATTTACTTGATGCAGCGAACGCTCCAAGAACTCAACAACCGAATTGCAGCCAAGTGGGGCATCGACTCTTCCCGGATCTTACGCACGATTCATTCCATTCAAAACGGCCTCGAGGTGGAGATGGACGATGATGTGGTTCAAGAGCTCAAGGAGGGCCAAGATATGACTCTCGAGATTCAAGAAGTCAATGGACAATCTGCAATCAAGAGGGAGTGGGAGATGGCTGTCGATCCTGTCGAAAGCATCGCGGAACCCAGCGACAAATCACAAAGTGGCTTCGTCCTTCGTCTCACTTTCTAATCGCTCCTTACATTCAGTTCCTTTATTATCCTTTATTTTTCTTTTTTGCTATTTACATCGCCATTTCGAATTGCGTATGACGATGAGTTTGCAGCGACGAACAACACATGGGTCTAGACTAGGGTTTGTCTTCTTTTGCTTGGTTCCCTCGGCCTGTCGCCAGGCTGAGTACACGATCGCATACATATATGGACAGGGATTGCTGGCTCTGGGGGCGTTGACGACTGCTCCTCTTCTTCAAAAATGATACCACTGGTTTTTTTCTTCTTATTTATTCTTCTTGTCGACACTTGGGGATTGCAAGTGATCGGCGACTTTTCTTTTCTTTTCTTGTTACTGTTTGTCTTGACATTGGGCGAGCGGATGGGTTGTCGTGCCGCAGGATTACGGCAACATGGAGCGGCAAGGATATCAGACTATACTCAGCCTCTCGACAAAGGATACCCCGCCAATCGCCATGCATTGGATTCGAAACGGTCGGATGTCCGATGTAAAACCCATCAGATGAGAGTGTTCTCTTGGCGGTTATTGTTCGAATGACCACGACAAGTGGGTCTGCTCTGGATACCTTTGCCCGCTTTCATTTCTCAAACAGCTTTCATTTGTGCAACAACTTCTTGGGCTGGTTCTTCGCTACCTGCCTCGACTTGAAAGCAACAGTATATTACACTACGATACCACCTTTGAACTCAACTGCATTGGAGGAATACAAGGAGGCGTATATGCATCACATTCTTATATCAAGGGCACACGAGTCCAACGTACACGAAAATATGGACTTACGAAGTAATGCTGGCAGGAGATGGGGCGAGAAGGGATGGATATGATATCGATCTTGTTCTTGAAAAACACCGCGTACATATTCTACCATATACAATACCCATACTTGCTAAGATTTAAGACATGATTCGGTCCTTGACTATCTGATAACAGCCCACAGCCCTTGACAGTTATGAAGCGAGAGAGAAGAACGTTTACACACGGTCTCGCCAAGCGGTGACGACTACTCTAACCAATTTGTTTGTGGAGTATAACGGACAAGGTCCTAGTGGCGGACCAGTTTGGCACTCAACGGTCGCCATTTGTTGCCATCAAACAAATGCTAATGTTGCCGAGGTCAAAGACGGTACTATTGGCGTATCTTGAACACAAGACCACCTAGTTCCGACACCTACTAAGGAAGCCATAGGCCAACAATCTTTGCTGATAAAAGTATCAACGATCTGGATGTGTGCTGCGGATAAATTACAATGGGCCGGTCACAGGCTATCGTTTCGTGGCTAGTGAACCGCGAACATGAGTATCAAGGGTCGAGAATCAAAGGGCTGAACCCCCGTATCCCAGCCAAGCCGGACTTTGTGGCCGGTCAAGAAGGGTGACTTACAAGCGCCAAGCGGGCAACAAAGATTAGAAAGAAAAAGGTCAGCAAACCCCAAGAGAGCGTTATTTCCTAGGACAAGCTACAGGTGCATGGCCAGGCTGCACCAGAATCCCAACATGATACGAGCCAGAAGTTTACCTCGCTCTGCCAAGGGGACTTAGAGCCGTATTCCGAGACGATTGCTATGTCAGGAAGAGGTAATTGGTCGATTAAAGACCACGCCAAGCTGAGTGCAAAGGAAATGAAGTGCCGAGCTTAGCCACCTGTGGCGAGGTGGTTTGCGTGTCCCAGATACAATGTGGCTTTTCCTTTGGGTTGCATCGAGGACGGGAATGCATTTAACGTTGTGGCTCGTGAGCTGTTCAATATTCAGCTCATCTCGATTGGGAATGATGTTCAAGGATATTGACGTGTTAGCGATGTTTCATGAATGAAAGGTGCCTGGTGCGTCTTGGGTTTTGATTTGTCGCATCAATATTGTTCTAATCTGCGATGAGTTGTCTAGTTTGAGGGGAATGCAGACTTGCAGGTATCCCAGTGCCGCGGCATCGCAGCGCATCGCAGCGCCTTGCATGAGAAGCAGCTCAGTTCACCGAGCTCATACGTACGATCCAAACACATCGTGTTTGCTCGTTCTACATCGGGACAAACCTTTTTTCTTTTATTTGGGTAGAGCGTTCTGGTGCGTGGCTCCCTTGTCCATGCCGTTGTTGGCTTGGCGGAAGAGTCTGGGTCATCCTCATCGGCGATGACAAGACAGGGTCAAGCGACGGCCTGCGTTGTTTTAATTTCTGCGGTCGAGTTCAGTGCGAGTTCTGCTGTGCTGCTGTGCTTTACAGAATCTCGGTCGGCAACGTCTTTCCGTCCCTCCATTCCCGGTAGGTACGGGAAATTGTGTTATCATGCAAACATTCGGCGCATCGGTATCCTATTCAATTCCATGTCACGATCATGCAAGTGGTTGTCACTAGCCACAATCGAGGTCGAATACGCGCCTCAGGGGAATTATCATCCTAGTCTACATATTGAACATGCCAAAGTGATCGGCGGGTGCACGATGCAGTCATTCATCATTCTTTGCTCTATCATCACAGCTCAGCTCAGCTCAGCAAGGGTCAGTTGTCCATCTGTCAACGGGCCGGATGAGACAACCCTCCATCTGGACCTCAAGTTCTCGACCATGTGGTGTGCCCTGGTAGTCGCCACACAAGGGGAGCAACGATGAGCCACATATAACATCATGTTTTGCCGTATATGTGGCAATGTATCATCATATCAACGAAGCCTCACCTTAGGATTGCCAAAGGCTGACTGGTTCTGGGCACAAATCATCTGCAGTCGCGGATGGAAATACAGTATATCACAGTATGTTACAGTATGTACCTGTGGCTGGCAGAGGGGGCGTGTGTTGTCTGGAGGGGGATCGGCAAGCGTCGAGCCACAAGTCGTCCTTCGTTGCAAGCCATTTGTGGGTGTTGGCGATAAGTCGTCGGGGTCCAGGCTAACTCACAACAGCCCTGAAAGATCTCGTGGTACAAAGCTAGGAAGCGACTTTTAGCGTCCAAGGCCACTTTAACCGTCCTCGACCGTTGGATGGCGTCTTGTCGTGAGGGGAGAGGAGAGAGAGGAGTGTGATAAACGTCGGTGAGATGGACAAAACGACTGGACAATTCACTGTTGAACCCAGGACAAGTGTCGGGGTTTGAGGCTAAGACGGTGAAATTGGTCTCTGGGCGACGCAACTATTCAAGCACTTGGAGAGGATGATTTACCTCGCAGAACGGAAACAAGTACAGTACCTGCTTGAGCGTTGTGCACCAAGCATCCAATGGCATTTGCTGATTAGCCAGGCAAGCTTCCTGTTCTGGCAGGTTGAAGGCATTCAGCCACAACATCGTCAAGAAGGACAAGATACTTTGCTGAGGCTGGAGCTACGCTTGCTACGGTATTACCCCTCGCTGCTGTGGCTCCCAGCTCTTGAACCATCATGACGCAAAGCAAGCGCCATTCATGATGTACGGTGCAGTTCCGGAAAAGTACCGGGACTCTGCGCTTTGCCTGCAGTTTGCACTTGTACCGAACAAGGTGCGGGGTCCATTCCGACAAAGGTAAAAGTTCAAAGGCGTGGGACTATCGAGTGTCAAATTCTGAAAAAGGGTCGGGTCGAGTCGAGAAAGAGTGATCTACACTCTAGGCCCAAGTGAGTTGCTGCCGATCTCTTCCCTTCTCGGGGTCTGAAGATGGGCAACGCATCTTCATGCTCACGCTACAGTACAGTACGAGAGTGTTGTCCTGGAAAACGCCGATAAGCGACTGGACATGATGCATAACTCAAGATGCAGATTCTATTCTCTTTTGGAAAAGCACAAGAGGCCTCCCGTTTATAACATGATATGATATGACATGACATGACAGTTCGTGTCTTTCTTTCTTTCGAGTTGAACGCTGTACCTGTCACACCAGTGGGTGTCACTGGATCAACTCAGTTTGAACACACAACATACGCCACAAGGTCAATATCCATCGCCTCACGTTTCGGCTTTAGCCGCTGCTACTGAAATCGCAGGGACTTTGTTCAAATCTCGGTCGGTAAACTTCTTTTCCGTTTAGTTGGGTTCCATCGTGTCTGTGGCTGGTACGGCAAGGTCCTAGGATCCATGAACGCGTTCGATCGATCGAGGGCAGATCCCGATGATCATGAGAATTGCCGATGGCCGGTACATGGTAATTTCAAAAACTGCATACGCGTGTCTTTTTCTGCTGTCACTTCGGGGCTTGATATGCAGCCCTGCGTTCTTTTCTCTTTGAAACATCCTTTTTCTCTCCCACCATGAGTCATGTGAACTGCGCAAAAGTCGGTAAATGCCCAAGAGGCATTCATGCCTCTTGAGAGGAGCTGAACAGTATCAAGATGTTCATACTCACACCCCTTCTCAACTTGACTCATCGCCTGGTCCCCTACAACCGTATAATCGTGGCCTGTCCGCTTCATGAAAGGAATTAACTGGCAAAAAATAGAATATATGACTCCACAATCACGGGCCGCCATGCATCTACCCGCTGCCACATCTGTATCATATGTTGATAGGGTGAGCGAGGGAACGATGTGAAATATCATCATCATCAATGCCTCACTCTGACTGATGAGACAGAGGGATATTCTCCTTGTGTAGTTCTTGTACTAGTGATGCGGCTTACTTTCAAACTCACAGACTTCTCATGTAAATTATAGGGATAGTTATGTTTAAGCTGGAAAAGATGCCATGGTAATATGAACCAGAGGTGGATTGTCATAATTCCGATAGGCAACGTCTTTGCGTTCTTATCCAGTCAGTTGGTCTAGGAGCAAGTCCGAATTCTTCGACTGGTTCTCTGATGCATAACCGTTATGGCAATATCGTTCCATGCCACCCAGCATCTATCACTGGGTACACTGGAGTGCAGTTTGCCTAACATCGTTTCGGTATAAGGTAATTGGACTTGCACAATAGTATGTTGCCCGTCATTGATCTCACTGTCAGCCCTATACCGTTAATCTCTCTGATATGATGAGATATCAGTCATACTGTTTCTCTAGTTCCAGGGTCCGAACCTGAGTTGTCTCTCGAGCCAATAAGAGTCTAATATGCCTAAGGGAACTCTGGCATCCATGGTATAATCGATTGATCATTCCTCAGCAGCCCTATCTAATATCTCACGAATACTTCTTGCATAGTCCTCCCCATCGCCTTTGACTCCACCGAGAACAACTGTCTTGTCGCGCGACTTCATGCCATGTGTCAACTGTAAACTGGACTTTGGTATGCCCAAGATTCCGCTGAGGACCTGAACAACAGCCTTGTTGGCCTCGCCCTCTCTTGCCTGAGCAGAAACACACAGTTCAATGGCGTCGTCAGTCACAGCTATGACACCCTCGCGATTCTTGCTGGCTCCCGGTTTCACGCGAAGCTGGAGATGCAGAGAGCCCAGAGGGGACTTTTTAGAACCAGTGACGAAGCGGATGGCGCTAGAAGACGCCATGCTAAGATGAGAGGTGTAGAATGCAATGCAATGCGATGCTATGATATGCAATTGAGTGTGAGGGGTAACATAAATTAACCTTGGAGTTAAGGCAACTTAACTGACTGTAATGTTAGGTCGCTCGGGTGGAAGGATGATGATGATGATGATGA